CCCTAACCAGTGTCAACAACCTGGCTGTTGTACTGCAATCCCAAAGAAAATACAATCAATCAGAGACGATGCACCGGCGTGCACTGGCGGGACATGAGAAGATTCTTGGACCAGACCACCCACACACCCTATCCAGTGCCAAAAGCCTGGCTGCTGTGCTGGGATCCCTAAGAAAATACAATGAATCAGAGACGATGCATCGGCGTGAGAAAACTTCCGGACCAGACCACCCGGACACCCCGCCAAGTGCCAGCAACCTGACTACGCTGCACGATTTTCAGGAGAGTGTGATGGTTCAAACACGGTAGAGCGTGTTGAAGTGCCTATCTGTCATGTGGGTTGGTACCATAGTTTGCGGGATTGATGATTTGCGCTTATAGGGCATAGGTGTTGGGTTTCCTGTTAGCGTTGTTACCCGTTTCCATATAGCCATCGGAAATGGGGATTGGCTTGTTTCATGCCTCATGCTTCTAGGCATCTGGTTCTTTGTTGGAGGTTCATGAGAGTTCTGGATCGTTGTAGAGCATGGAGGCTCATGGTTCGTCGGCATGATGTGGTTCTTTTGTGTTCGTAGGGTTTCATTGGAGTTCCAGAGTTGTTGTTGGTTTGGAGATATATATCCCTCCCGTTGTCCTCAGCTAGTAGTTCAGCGGAAGACGTTCATCGATCATCGATCACCCATTCTTTCACCATCCTTCCTCACTTTCTTGCATCTTGAGTCTATCATTATTGCACTCGTGTTGCTTCATTCATTCGTGCCCCCCATCCCCTCTTATCAGAGCGAAGTCCCGCGAGAAACTATCAAGAAGACCTCGATCTATTCTCCTTTGACAGACTACTCTCCACAAGTTTACCAGTGCCATCAGAGACTCGCACAATACCATAACCCGTTTTGGAAGGATCCGGCCTATCCAAGGAAACAAGTAAGGGGTGTAGACTAGACCATATCCAACACCACCTAATGGCTCTCCGACATACAAGGATCTCCAGAGCCTCATAGATATACACCCTCCCACAAGCCCAAACTCTAAGTCACGGTCAGGTCCTACGAATTGCCTCCCATGTTTGTTAGAATGCGGCGCAGTGTTCCGCCGGATGTCCGAAGTTAACCGCCATATAAGTACCTCCAAAAGACATACCAATTCAAAACTAGAGTGCAAACATGTGTGGAATAAAATTTAACGGAGAAGACGTTCTTCGGCAACTCATCCAAGGAAAATACTCCAGGCAATTAAGCAGGAGCCTTGACACTAATATAAGAAGTGTTGGGACAAATTATTCTACCATGGGTGGCGAGGTATATTTACTGCTAACCCCGTCCCTCTCCGAGCTCGGATCCAGGCTGAGCGATTAGGACAATATACACATAAATCCGTCAGCAGGTGGATTGTAGAAGGAGGAACTAGGGCCAGGAGACGCTGCAGGGTCACTGCAGGCCGAAGGGGCTGTGGAGGTGGCAGGTACCAAGGCTGCAAAGCCAGGACTGCAAAAGAATCTCCTTCAAGCGCAAAATCGAGAACAACTCTCCAAGGAGGGTGAAAAATAAAATAGAAGCTGCGAAACCCTCACCCACCCCCGGGCCAGAGGGTGGGAACTCTCCGCTTCTACCCTACAAGGCCCAGCCCTTGGCTATGGACACCTTCTGGGAGGATGTGGTAT